CACTAAACAGCATCCACATATGGATTAAACATCTTGTACAAATGAGAACAATGCACACACACATCCATGTACAGGGAAAGTGACAAACTATTACATTACACCCCCACACCCTTTTATTGATGGTATCAGATGACGGCCTGTTTGGGTTGCATTTTCGGGCTACTTGCACTTAAGTTCATTATGCCCGGAGGTTAAAAAACACAGGCCATCTGCTTAGTACATACAATTAGGACAGCAGCAGACACATAGGGACTTATAATGTTTGCATGTAGTGTGTGTTATAGCAATTGTCTGTGAATCACACTGAGAGGGAGGAAATAGAGAATATACAACACAAATCATTTTACCCAAACCCATTCAATGTACAATAGGACCTTTCTACAAATTACTCAAAATGAACTGAGGGAGATTCGCAGGAAAATCATATTTTTATATGTAACTATGATCCTACTAGTTACATTAAATCAGTGTGAATGAACAATGGAACATTTCTTAAAATGATTCAAGAGTATCTAAGGAGGATTTACATCTGTATATACCTATCTATACATATATCTATCTGTACAATGACACTTATGTAAACTTTGTGTCTCCTGTGACAGCTGCCGCAGCCTTGACTCCATTCACAGTGACCCGCAGGATCGGACACCCTTACCAGAACCGGACGCCTCCCAAGCGTAAAAAACCGCGCACGTCGTTCTCCAGAGTTCAGATCTGTGAATTGGAGAAGCGATTTCATCGCCAGAAATACCTCGCTTCAGCCGAGAGAGCCGCCCTAGCCAAATCCTTAAAAATGACGGACGCTCAAGTAAAGACATGGTTCCAGAACAGGAGGACAAAATGGAGGTGAGTGTTCCTGGATGGCTTGGAGGTCAACAATGGCCTGGACGCCATCCTAATGTCTACAAAAACCAATAATAGATCATTGTTTTATGTCTCTCAATTTCACTATACTTTCCACTATGTTTACGCATGGAAAATAAGGGTTGGTTCTGCCGTATGTAAGACGAGGTACAACATCTAAGAGCAATAATGTAATATAACACAATAGTGTGCTGTGTCCATCGCACTGCATGTGCACTAGACTGGATGATGGTTAAAAACTGGTTTTATATTTACATTACACAGAGACATTTAAGGGTTGTTTTCTCCAAATGCACATCACCTGGAGAAAAATACAATCCGAGCCCCAAAAACAACTACAAAGACATAATAACCTGTTACCAGTTGATGATTTCCTGAGTTTACACGGCACGGTCAGGGAGTGAATCCTATACATCTATATGGTGTGATCTCTATTGCTTCTACAATACTGCCATTCTGCTATATGGTTACTGAATCGTACAATTTGTTTTCTAAAACTTTTATTTCATTTAAGGGAGCTATAAAAAAAAAAAAGATAGTCCATCAGGATTTATTACAGACCGTTTGTACTCTGACACACCTTCTGCAGGCTTCATGTGGACTCTGAAAGTGAAAGTCATCATGCTGCAGATTGCCTTTTTATTAGGTCTGACAATTTGTGCAAGTGAAGACAGGCCAATTTCCCGCTCATTGAAATATATTATTATTACTGATGATGATAATAACAATGATAATAACAATAATAATAATAACAACAATAATAATAATTTTGGAAGGATTTGTAACAGGCAGATAAATACTAAGCTAACCCATAAGGATAAGGATCCATATTTCCAAAACCATGACTTTTTTGGGGGGCTACGTCCAATGAGATTTGAAAAATGACAGTCACCTGGCTAAAAATAAAGATCCTTATGTTCGGGTAAAGCTGGATGATTTACGCCACAATGCACTTACAGAGCGTAATTCGGAACCATTGTACAGTTTGTATTTATTATTATAATATTTCGTATAAATCTAGTAATTGTTCGTGGTGGGTATATGTGAAGTTGATGGCACTGATCTAACATTACAGTTGCATTTGTATAAATCAACTTTTAGCTGTGGGAGGTCTCTATGGCTACTTACCGCTCGGTGATGGCTTTAGCAGTTTGTCATTAATCCGCAATCGAATGTTTATGACTGACTGGCTTTGCGCTATTTCGGAGCAGTTTGGAAATACTTTTCTGGAAAGTCTTTCCATAATTTTTCCTTTACACACTTAGGTATATGATATAGAATTCAATTTGGAAACTTGAGGGAAAATGACGGCGGTGACATTTCTGGACTGTACAAGCAGAATGCCGGTCCTCTCCCTAAGAAAAGGTTATTGGGAGTAGTGGAAAATACAAGACAAAATCATTAAAAATCGGAATGAGTAAATGGTATATTATGAATGGATGGAGATATAAATATTCATCTCATTAATGGATAGGCAGTCTTTATGTCATATCATGGCAGGCTTGTAGCATTATAGGCGTGCATGTGTTGCAGTGCTAGCAATCAATGATCACTCAACATGAACAGGATGTCGGAGCTGCATTTCTATATTTCATCTGAGGAAATGATAACATCTAAACCATCAAAGGCAGAGCTTTCAATTTTGATGGCGCTGATGATGAAGACCGCTCTTTGGAAATATTCCTGTGATCAATTCCAGAGGACGTTTTGCGTGCTTATTTCTAGGCACGTAGGTTTTTTATTTTCTTGTTGATCTGAAATTGAATTTGTTTCCTTCTAGGAGACAGACAGCAGAAGAGAGGGAAGCAGAGAGACAACAGGCAAATAGACTAATGCTACAGCTGCAGCACGATGCTTTCCAGAAATCACTGAGCGACTCCATCCAGCCAGACCCGCTGTGTTTGCACAACTCTTCTTTATTTGCACTTCAGAATCTACAGCCCTGGGAGGAAGAGAACAGTAAGATCCCTCCAGTTACCTCTCTAGTGTGAGGGAAACGTTTATTACAAACGTTTATAAAAAGAGAAAACGAACTATATTGTTACATTACGCCTAACTAACGTGTCTCCAACGGATAGAAGGTTCTCCGCTGACCTTTATCCGGGCACGGATTGTCCTGCGCCGCTTGAAAAGGCTGGAGCCTGCTACCAGTGCTGAGGAAGGACTGGCAATGGACAGACTATTACCTTCTTGTGGATGGCCAACATAGGGATCGGTGACATTTTAGCTTGATCTTAAATTGTCGTTATCATCACCTTATTTTTATTATTCTCATGAATTGAATATATCATTATATGCAGATGCATTCACAAACACAGGAAGAACACTTGTTATATACAGAAATAATTATTCATTCACCACATTAATACATACATTTTAAGCCATTTGTTACAAACCATCCGGACATTAAAATATCCTTTTTACATCTGCTAAAACATTTGAAGGCTGATTGATTGAAGCTGTTGAGTATCTACACTCAATAAATTGTGTGAATAATCACTTCAATTATCCAATCATGTGAAAAGAAAAATTCCTGTTCACTTTGAATACCCAATACTGTGGAGATGAAATAAGCAAACATGAAATTACTTTTCACATGTATAATTGAAGTGAATATTCACACAATTTATTGAATGAAGGTTCTCAACTTAGGTATCTAGATTCCATTATGGCTCTTCTATGGCCAAAAATCTCCAACTTTGACACTAACCTTTGAGTCCAATTTTCATATCTTGGTGGGTCATATCAAAGTTAATCCTTACAGAAAACTCTCTATAGGTTTGATTTAAATAAGCTGAGCTTTGCTGCCTGTGAGGGTGACCCATGTTTACTATTCTTCACAAGCAAATTGGTGCTTGCTTGCGTACCAAGCGTGGTACACTGGCATATAATCACAGCCATACACAGTGGTTGCTTTCTGGGCTGTCCCCTATAATGGGTGATCAGTTGAATCAATAAAGAATATTTATTCTGAATTATTTACAGCGCAATGATTTTATTAGTAACATAGAAATATGAAAGAGACATAAATCTAATTTTAAAATGTTAGAAATTACATTTTCTGATTCAAAATACACAAGTTCAGTATCTATATTTAACAATTAATATTTTGCCTAAATAACTGCATATATTAATAGTTTTAAATGATGCACTTAAAAAATACATTACTATGCTTAATTAGTTTCAATCTTTGCTGCCCACTCCGTTGATCAATGGGGCAAGGCTTTCCAGAGTACATACAGTATGCATGACCATGCTCTTTCAGACCCGCTGGAGCAAGATGACAACAACATTTCCCATAGATTTTAAAAAACAAAACAAAATGCCTACCAGAAATGGCTGGCAAGCAAAGTAAGCACTACCTTAGTTTCCTGGCTAAGAGCTCTGGGAGTATTTTGATGCGCATGGGTGTGAACAAAGCATGGCATCATAAATATTTATAATTGCTCTTTTTAATATGTTTTTATGCTTTTATAATTCATACTTTAGAAAATGTATCCTGCCATCTGATTTATTGGCGCCTGATAGCATAGGTATATTTTTAAGTGTAAGCGTAAAAGAGTTGGCAAAAATCAGGTCAAAAAGAGCATTGGAAGTGCTCTAATTTTTTATTAATCAAATAATTTTATAAGTAGAATGTTAACCACAAAATTAAATATAAAACCCTAATATTTATTTCTTTATAAATTCATATCAATGACACATTCATACCACCAACATATACAAGAGGTAATAAAAAAAAATCCAAAACTTAAACTGCATTCATGCTCTGTTAAAGTTTTTTTATTTATTCAGTTTTAAAATCCATATTTGTCTGTGTCCATAAGATAACAGTTCAAATGTGTGCTCAACTTAATTTGAATGCTTATATTTCCAAGCTTTGTAAAAATATGGGTTTTTTTCCCATTAAATTAGGGTAAGGCATGTCTGTTGTATTGCCCAAAATCAACAGCCCACTGAGCTTAAAACCACCATAAAAATGAAAAGGTTTAAAAAAAAAACTCCTTGATGAAGAACAGTTAAGTGTAATGACTAGATGACATTTGAATCATGATTTTTTTTAAAACTGGGGATATTATAATCATTTTGGGGTGTTCTAAAATCTGATTTACAAAAGGAGTCATTTGTATGCTGGCCAGAAAATCTGTTATCTTTTGAAAGGAAAGTCATCACTAGTGAGTCAAGATGAACATTTCATCAAGCTCACTTAATACTGCAAAAATTACTTTACATTTTTTAGTTTAATTAGCCATTGCTAACTAATCAGCATTTTTGTGCCTTTTTTTAAATCTCATATTTTACAAAAATCTGAGCAAAATTGAAATTTTCCCATACTGCTCCTTGTCTGGATGGACATAGGAAATGATTATGCAACATGGCTGCCCCTAGGGTGAATTTATTATTACAGTGTAACATTAATACCAATACAGACATACTGAGCTGAAACAGTGTTATTTTGTTGGTGACAGATTTGCTTCAAACACAAAGACAGTTTAGTAAAAAAAAAAAGAATATTCCCTGTACCTGATTGGAATTTCGATGCTCCCTGAGGAAGAGTATAAAAATACTCCTTTAGGCGTATCGAATATGCGCGTTTCGTGTCACGCGTTTGTTGCACAATTCGCGGTTAAAAAAAACGTGCGCCAAATGCGCGTTTCCGAGGGCTACTTGGCTGTATCCCAATGGAAACGCGCAACAAAAACGCCCTAAAGAAGCTCCTGTACTTTTTTGGGCGTAGGACGTTTTGTAGCGCGTTCATACGGCCTATAATGCGCCCAGGTGTGAACCATACCCATAGGAAATAATGGGATTTCGGTGTTTGAGCGTTTTGCCGAGCGTAGGAACGCGCTACAAAACGCCCAGGTGTGAACCGGGCCTAAGTAAATTAGCCCCTTCTATAATATTAGGTAACAAAATAGCCAAGTTTATTATATAACGAACATACCAGATTCATAATTTTAGCAGACTGGCTTCTCTTATACTGAATGAGTGGGGTTTACCAGTTTTTCTTATTCTTATATGCATTACATATATTTGAAAACTCCTAAAATGTATTTCTGTTAAGCTAGACCTATGTTGGTTACAAAGAAGTAATAGCTTTGTTAAAAAAAAAGTCATTTTTTATGTGCATGTACATATGTTTACACAAGTTGTTTACTAAACTTGGATTTTTTTTTTTTTTTTTTGCTATTTAAATGCTTTATTAAAATAAATATTTAAGAACATATTTTACAGTAAACCAAATTAATGGACAAAACATACTATTTTATAAATAAATAGGATTACAAAATGTTGTCAATATAACAGCTTGATATTAACTGTACCAGAAATCATTTAGTGGATTATTTAGTAAAATATGCACAGATTATAAACCATCCTTTGTTCCCTTCTGTGCCCCCATCCCCACCCCTTTGATGTAAAACTCATGAAGTTTGGTTATTGACGAACCACAGACTTGATTTTGCCAAGCATTATCTGACATATCTGTATCACAATAAGGGGGTGATTTACACTGGGGCAATTTAAACACTCTACATATTGAGGATTTTTTTAAATATCTATCCCTGACATGTAAATATGGAGACAAATAGCAGATAGCATGAACAATACATCTCTACTTAGTTAGGTCAAGAAAGTACAGTATTTGATCATACAGAATATGGGACTGATTTTGCAAAGTAAATGAACAAGAGCAAAACAGATCATTATAGTATGCTTACATTGCAGCTCACATAAGTGGAAGTATGCATGTATGCATCCCTGAAACTGTTGTACAAATTGTACACTGATGTGTAATGTATATGGTGCAATCTTAGATTGCCGATCACGTTGAACATCGAAATAATGCTGAACTTGTGCCTTCTGTTCTGATATGGCACAGTAAGGAATACAGGTATAAATATTTTTCTTGAAAATAAATTATATATTTTTTTAAATATATGTTATCAGCTTGCTAACTAATTAAATACACATTCATTCACTAAAATAAGTAGATATTAAGAACTAGTATGCTGCAAAAAATAATAAAAATAAAAAAGTGTATGCCATTCTCTTGGAGCAAAAAAGGCAACACATTGTATGTACAGGTATATTTTTGGAAACTTGCACAGAGGCATCAGCTTAAGAAATTGTGTTTGCATGCTGAACATGGCTAGAATTTTGCCATAAACAGGATTGGGTTTGCTAATACTTTAAATACCGAATCATTTGCAGAGGAAAACAATTTTTCCTTGCACATGATTGGATCATTGATGTGAACATAGCTTCACATAGAAAAGTAAAAACTCTATACTTTAGTACTAAATCAACCCCACTGAGTATAATTGGAAACAATGTACAGTAGCTAAAAAAGCAGCGCACTATGCTGACACTTAAAATGGTTTGCAAATATTTGATAGTATTTTAAATTGTAGTGATACTTTCTTACATCTAAATATAGGTTATTTAAGTATATCCAATAGTTCTCGTGCATCGCTTATAGCAGTTTGATATTGACTGACTATGGAATATAGGGCATTAACATGTACCAGTAAGAGATTTTTTTTATGTTCATAGCAAGTATGCTAAGTAATGTGTATGTGTACCATGTATAGATAATTACTTCCTCTCCCAGAGATCCAAGTATTCTCCATGACGAGCCTCCCCGTGCTTCTCTCGTCATAAGGATGGCACCATCTTTGTTCAGGCATTTTTGAGAGTTACCATCTACTTTTTAGATTGAGATGCTGACACAATAATACAAATCCTGGTGCTTGTGTTACCTGCAAATGTCTGACACAGGCAAGCTCCCTGTTAAAGACTTGTTAAGTTAATGAAAGGTCCACTTTTAATGTTACCAGCTATTGCAAATTTTAAGAAATATCGGACATATTTTTTCTCTCTAAATAATGTTCCACTGGCACAAATAACTTTAATAGGCTTGTTTTAATTAAAACTTCAGCAGAAACATGTTTAAATAGTTCCCATTTCTGTAGCCATAGAATTCTTTGTT